CCATACATGTCACTGAAAGTAAAATCATACACTACTTCTCCCCGTGCACCTCTTCCACCTACTCAACTTTCCATGTGAAAAGAAATTCATGTGTGAGTATATTACTGGAATTGATTCAACATGCATAAAATCAGACATGGCTAATATTTTAGATCAGTGGTTCTCAACCTGTGGGTCCCCAGATGTTTTGGCCTTCAACTCCCAGAAATCCTAACAGCTGGTAAACTGGCTGGGATTTCTGGGAGTTGTAGGCCAAAACATCTGGGGACCCACAGGTTGAGAACCACTGTTTTATATAAAACCTAGGAATCAGCTATGTAACCTGGGCCTGCATGCATCAATGGTATTTCAACCCTGCATTCCTAGGTTGGGTGGAATGACTGGAGTGCACTCACTTCCCCATCACATATTTGGGACATATCCAGGAACTGGTATCATCTAGTTTGATTGTAAGTCAGATATTTATAATGTAAAAGAGATGTCACATAGCTTGTGTTATTCAGCTTCATCTAACTCTTTATTATAATGTTTAAATCTCTAGAGTCAGCTATCATCTAACTACCATTTCTTAACAACCAAACAGTATATTTTTGGTCCAGCTAATCTAATGAATCTTTTTAAAATTAATTCGCTCCCTTCATGAATAGGATTGTGTTATCTGTCTGAGGATGAATATGGAAACATATTTTGCTTTATATGTAAATGATCTGCAACTCGCATCTCCTCATCACAATGGCAGCAACACAGTGAAGGATATTGCACATCTCAATCCAGCTTTCCTCATCTGGTAGCATCCAGAAGTATTGTACTACAACCCTCATGCAATGCTGAGGATGATGGAAGCTATAGTCCACTACACCTGGAGGCTCCCTAATCGGCTAAGCCTTGCTCATTGCTTTCCTTAGAGAAAAATGAAATCCACTTTTATTCAATTGGTAGGTCAGATATGGGGCAGTTGATGAAAGTAGCTAATAACTATTATAGACAAATTATTTAAATAATCAAAGAGAAAAAGAAAATAAACTCATCTGCATATACATCTGTTATGACCAAGGAAAAGAGAATATTATTAATATTGTAATGCTTAAATTCTGAACAATCTGATGTAATAAAGTTGAGACAAACTTGGCACTATACCACTGAAAAGTCCATAAAAAGTCCAATGCATCTCACTCTTAAATATAACATGTACCAAGTAGAGTAGTACTGCTTGGAATCAAATATTTGGAATGCAGTATACTTAAGATAAAAGTGGCATTTATGGCCTGCACTATCTGGTTGAAACTCCCAATGTGTTACACTGAGAGAGGCATGGCTTAGACATCAGGAGGACAGAGCCAAGAAAATGCTCTGGATGAATGGCCTTTTATTAAGATTTTGCTCAATATTTTGGGCACCAACTTCAGTTCAAAAGAAACCCACAATCTGAACCCATAGTTCAGAGCCAAAGTTGCTCAAGACCGGTTTGTCAGGTGTATTCAAAAAATCCTGCTGGAAAGCACACTGTGACAGAAAGACTGAACAAATTAAAACTGCCACAAACCAAATATAAAAATCCCTTCTTCTTCTGTCACCATCTTCTCTTTTACTCTCAGTCCTCTGTATTTGAAAGAAAAGTGCGAAAAAAGGTTTCTGAGAAGTCGTATTTTACAGTTGGTATTTCCCAGCTGCAGATCTATCTGCAATAAATATATTCAACTGGAAAACTAAATGGGCAGACATGAAATAACCTATCTATTTTGAAACACTGAGTTAAGATGTAACCCACGTTAGCAGCTAGTTACAAGTTTAGATTGAAAGGTTTTTAAAAAAACCCAAGCTTGAATCAAAAGATTTTATAAATGAAACAGTGCATTTGTTGTAGACATGTGTAATAGATCTACCTTTTAGTCGGCTAGGCCGAAGCCTGCATAACAGTGGCTGGCATCTTGGTAGTCAAGCAGAGCAGGAGGAGGAGTCAGGCTGACTCCTGATTGGGTGTAGCAATTGGGGGAGGAGTCAGCTTAGAGAGGGAAAATAAGCTGCCAGTTTTGACACAAAAGGGAGAAGAGTCTTAGATAGAGACAGAGAAGGGTGTGGATTTTGGAGATAGGAAGTTACAGCAGGGAACTGACAGGAGAAGAAGAGCTTTTAGTGAGCCTCTAGGTTTGGGAATAAGGTGAAGACATTAGGCTAGAGTTTTACTACGTTGAGAGGACTAGTAAAAGAGAGCTGTGTCTTATTAAACTTAAGAGAGGTTTAAAGATACCTTATAGCCCAGTGAGTGAGGCAGACTGGAGTCTGTGCTCTAAGAGAAACTGTGTCTAAAAGTAGAACAGTTTGTTAAAGAGACTCACAGCTGAAAAAGCTATTCTGTCAGGGGAACTGTTTGTTTTAAGCAACCAAGTTACTGCAATTGCATCAAGATTTCTGTACCACTAATTTCCAACGAGTTGTTGTTATTCTAAAGTTAAAATAAACTCTTTCTTAGTTAACTCTTAACTGTTGTACGCCTCAATCCATTCGTTTCCCTCAGAACTCATTCTCTCAACTCATTTTGAAGTCCAGTCAGCTAAGGAGGAAGACATAGAAGACCAAGAGCTCAAACCCCCTTTACCTAAATACATTCACACCCTTTTGGTTCCTCAGGCCAGCATTTTCTGAGGTGGTGGCGGCAAATACTACCAAGTGATTCGGTCACTTAGGATCAGCCTTTGATCTCCGCTATATCCAAGGGCAGAGGTGTGATCGTGGTGTCCACCCTGCTCGGATATTCCTTTAATTTTACTATAACATGCATTAGAAATGGTCAAGGAATGCTTTGGATAGGAATAATGTTATTCTGAGCAATCTTGTGTCTTCCATAGAATCATTGAATCATAGAGTTGGAAGAGACTTCGTGGGCCATCCAGTCCAACCCCCTGCCAAGAAGCAGGAACATCGCATTCAAAGCACCCTGACAGATGGCCGTCCAGCCTCTGTTTAAAAGCCTCCAAAGAAGGAGCCACCACCACACTCCGGGGCAGAGAGTTCCACTGCTGAACAGCTCTCACAGTTAGGAAGTTCTTCCTAATGTTCAGATGGAATCTCCTTTCTTGTAGTTTGAAGCCATTGTTCCACGTCCTAGTCTCCAGGGCAGCAGAAAACAAATTCGCTCCCTTCTCCATATGACTTCCTCTCACATATTTATACATGGCTATCATGTCTCCTCTCAGCCTTCTCTTCTTCAGGCTAAACATGCCCAGTTCTTTAAACTACTCCTCATAGGGCGTGTTCTCCAGATCCTCGATCATTTTAGTTACCCTCCTCTGGACACATTCCAGCTTGTCAACATCTCCCCTCAATTGTGGTGCCCAGAATTGGGCACAGTATTCCAGAGGTGGTCTAACCTGAAATTTCTTTAACACTGCTAATGAGAGGCTCTTCCTCCATTTCATGTGCCACTGATGTGGCCTCTAAAGGGGAGAAGAGCAGTCAGCGTTGGCTGGGCTTTATCCATTGAAATTTCCTTATCCTTGTGTGTCCTGTCTTTGTAGACTATAGGCTCAATGGAAGGAAGCTGTCAAATTAATGATTTGGAAGCCTCCCTGGGACACTTTTCTGGCTGAAATATAGGGGAATAAATACTCTAAATAAATAGATGAATAAATAAATATCCATCTTACCTGGAAAAAGACAACATGTTCCTCAATACAGTCAATATGTCCTCCAGTTCCTCCCAGTGTTCCCACTTTTTGCCAGTGCATCATGCTTCCTGTTCTAACTCATCAGTTTAAGCTACACAGGCTCCATTGTTTCTTTTCCTTACAAACCAGATTGCAAGGTGATATTTGTCAGCTACTACATTCCACAGCTCATAATCTCATAATCTCTCTCTGAACTTCAATCAATCTGATAACACCCTGAAAACAGGACTTTAGATTTCAGAGGATGTTGGTCAATTTGCATAGCTTTTCCCTTCCCCTGCAATTCTCGATGCTTCTGAAAACTTGAGCTAGACCTTTTGAGACAATAGGAGGGACTGTTGCCTCCCCCTCAACTTCTGCGACCCTCCATTGGATCACCAACCTTTCTGCTAATGGAAGGAACACCACCACACATGAAAGGGCTACTGAAAAACTAAGTGTATGTCCCTCAGTAACTTCCCACACCACTTCTGAGCAGCATACTATGGCGATCCTTCCCCACAACATCCCCCATAAAAAGAACATAGAATATGAATTGTGTATCCACCATGGTTGAGATGTCTTTATCTATTCCACACTGAAATGTAATGGAGTGAACCACAGTGTTCTTCTTTAGCAAGCCAACTCGTCGTGACATGGGTCATTTTGTAGAAGGTGTCCTTACCACTTTGAGGTGGGGATATTCTCTAACCGTCTTGGGTTATATTATGGGATGGGTGCCTTTAGCTTATAGATTCACATTTAGGTTATGATGCCTTATAAGCAGAAACACAGTTCAAATCTCTGCACTTCTACTTAAAAGCAAGTTTCACCTCAATTCATTTAGGTTAAGTCATGAGAAAATGGGTATAGAATTGGAGTATAAGATTCACATTTACACCCGAGTCCACATATTCATTCCTAACAACTTGTGTCCATACATTTTCACCTGTGTGGATGTTCTGTTTTCTTTAGCTTAAGCAGGCATTACACTTTCTATGCTAAATTTCACTTCATTCCTTAACATGTCTCACACTTAACCTATTAAGGTCATCTTGGATTTTTATGTCAGGTCTGAGTTGCATATTTCCATTTCCCTCATTTTTTCTATCATGTTATGTACTTTTTCTTAATAATCTCATAAATTATTATATGGAGAAGTGACTTGGTGACATCAATTAGTCCCTTTTAGATATATTACTATTATTTTTGGGGAGGGGGTGACACCATGTCCAAGAATGTCTTCTAGAAAGTAAGAAAGTTAAAATAAGAAAGTCATTCATTTTCCCAGTAGTGACGACAAAGGGGTGAGTGGATATCTCCCGATGAATCCTTCATAAAATAATGTGGACTTACTTGAGCCAACACAGCATCTCTTTCTTCGATCACTGCGCTCATTTCTTCAGCTGTTATTTTCTTTTTCCGCTCCTGGATCCTGTATATTCGGTCGACAATTACAGCTCCGCTCCTACGTATTGCCATTCCGGTGTCTGCATTGTTTATTCTGTTCAGTAATTCCTGTAATGTCTACCAACAGCATTATATGTTAGTCAGACAAGAAGTTTTAATATATTTTATTTAATATAGGGTTTTAATTAATAGGCACATGTGAATTGTAAATTGACTGAGTGAAGTTATTGAATTTTCATACTGCAGCAAAGATGTACATTATTAGTGTGTCAATTCTTCTTTTTCCCCACATCTTAGTTCCTGAAACCCACTCAATTGAACTTAAGCCTCTAAGATATAAGACTGACATCAAGAAATCTCCTCAGAGAATGGCTTACCATGTCATTTTCTTCAGGGTTAATATTTTCTAGCCTAGGAAAAAAGGGACACAGAAAGCCTGATCAGTAGCATTTCCTTAGTGCAGCAAAATGAGTTCGCTTTTTAAATCTTTAGAACCCTCAAGTAATTTCATTCGACTAGTCTTTAGAGTCAACCATGACACTGAACATATTAAAGTGCCACCTGCTCGATTCCATCTTTCAATAATGCACCATATCTTCAGAACCGACTTCAGAATGTTAAGTTATTAATGTTTACTGCTATATATGACTACAAGGATCAATTGTTCATATGTGCTTAGATGAAGAAAGTTCCCCAGCGGCAGGAGCAGAGGCGCATTTATTTATTTATTTGTTTCTAGGCCTATGACTTTCATCAAAAATTGGATATTTTAATTTCGTTTTTCCAAATCCCTAAAAAACAGAAGCCACATAAACACCGGCTTTCCAATTCTAAAATGTATTTGTCTGAAAGGAAAGTTTCACAGCCATTAATGGAATTGTTCTTTCTGAGTAAGTTTGCTTAGCATTTCAGTCTTAAGTTCATGTAATGTAAGATGAAGTTGGCTTTCCTAATGTGTAACATTACTGAGTTCTTAACAGAAGATCATAAAATTGGGTAGAACTTTATTTGCAAACCCTCAACACTATTGAGGGGATGAGCAAAAAGTCACGCCCTCTTATTCAGTTTTGAAATATACATGAAGCGTTTCACAGAAAAATGTTGTTATCAGGTTTGTAGCTTATTACATGTTAATAAAATATGTGCAACAATCAAGGTAAGCAGTGGAATAAGCTGTAGGAGTAAACATAATGCTATAGGACTGCTAACCATTTTTATTAGCCTTTTTGGAAGATCAAATCTTATAAATGAGGGCAATTATTTCTCTCGATGCAAATAATAGGCTTGGTTGCCATCTGTCAAGTTCAGTTTGTGAGTTTAAGAACTTCACAGTTCAATTTTATTTTTATTTTTGAAGAGTTGCATTGAAATTGAAAATAATTAAAGAGACTATTTTATAATTTCTAGAATATTTTTCCATAAGCCTCAATATATGTGAAACTGTGTTCAATATGATGCTTCAGATTCTGCTTTACGTAAAGCAAAAATGCTCGAACTAAGTCATACTGCACTTAATTAGAATTGAAAATATTGCTGTGGTATATCAGTCTGGAGGGGGATCCTGTGGCATTTTAGGAACCCAGACTTGCTTTGGATTCACCTATGGCTGTTTTCACAGTGTTCACCTACTTCTAATATTGTGGGGGTTTTCAGGGTTAAACTGGCTATGCCCCAAATTGGGCAAATTGGAGAATACCCCAAAGGTTGCTAGAAGCTTTTCTGAACTGCACCATCAGTGTAAGAAAAGGAGATGGATCACTGCTGCTATCACATCCAACCAAACACAGAGCTCCATACAAGTTCTAGGTCTTTGCCAATTCCCATTCTGACATGAAAGGAGAAGAGATCACCACTCCTCCTTCTTGGTTACGTGGGTGCTCCATTGGCATCATAATGGGATGCCTTCAATGGCCAGGAGTTTGCAAGGAGCTCCATGTCTGACTGAGAACTGTGGTGGCAACACAGAGACTGATAAGACAGTTCAATGAGGCCAATGTGGTTTCGGGCTAGATGGACCACGGAGATGCCAATGTGGCATTGCAGGGGTCGGTTCAGGCTGGCAGATATGAAAGTGACAATAACAAGGAAAACTTGGCAAAACCCAAGGTGTCACATATTTTTAGACTACTCCTCAGTCTTTTTATAACTAAGTCAGTATGGTGTAATGATCTGAGCACTGGATCACGACTCTGAAAGCCATGATTCAGACCTTTATTTGACCAGGAAAATCCACTAGGTAACCTGGGGCAAGTCACACTCTATCTCAGAGGGAGGCAAAGGTAACCCCCTTCTGAACAAATCTTGCTAAAAACCCTGCTCAATGTAGGGTTCCTCTAAGTTAGAAATAACTTGAAGGTATACAACAATTAAATCCATTTGGTGAACCCAGCTCTAGATCAACTGCTGAATCAGTCAAAACTTTTGTAAACCTGTTTGACTCAATAAATCTACACCAATTGGGACTAGTACTTAGGATTAGGTCTTTGTTTTCAGTGGCTGCCTGACATGGAGCTTCAATATTTTCAACCACAAATGACAGCTGGAGTTTATATAAAGCATGCGCCAAAATAAAAAGTGATGGCAGATGTTGGTAATGCACTACCAAAGCTGTGGAACATTTTTGACCCCAACTTCCATTAGCACCTGCCAAGGGTTAGGGATATTAGCAGTTGTGATTCATCAACATCTGGAGGTTTATCATCCAGATGTTAGCATACCAGTACAAAATACCAAAACAAAAAGTATTATTTATATTAAGAAAATTAATACTATTGCATTGTAGCTAGTATGGGGAGATGAAGTTTATTTGATGACCACTTCTTAAATAATGAGTCTTTTTTTTAACAGCAGAAAATCACCTACTGACATCAAAAGAGAAGATTGATTTTCTTTGCTATGTGACTTTTGACTGGCAACCTTGAAGTCCAAGCTCTGTACTGTAGTAAGAGATGTCACACTTCTCTGATATATTCTTTTTTTAAATTAATCCTGCTTTCTCACCCCACTTGCACATATCCATAAACTTTTGCCTTTTTTCTGTCTCAGGAACAAAACAGCATCTATAAATCAATAATTAAAAATTCAACAAATAAAGCCAATGGCTTGCTTGATACTCCTGTTAACCATGTAGCAAGCAGGCTATTGTCCTTCATACTTGATACTTGGGTTAATGACAGGAATGAGACCGAGAATATGAAATATTAAGATATCCCTCCAAGTCTGTTTTCCCCCAACCAGTGTTAATGGGTCCCAGGTATAGGCTATAGCCTTATACTCAAGAACACTCTGTTAAGGCACATTGGAAGAGCGGATAACCCATCTTTGATTCTACTGATGGAAGCAGTTCTGTCAACAGATGTTTCCCAGTGGATTAAGGCCTGAAACTGCAATAAATCAATGATATTTTTCCCCAATACTGATAAGACCTTCAGACACTGTAGAGGAGAAGCTGAAGTGATCAGTAAATGACGAATATTTTTGTGTGTGCATGTATTGAACACTGTGTTATTGCCTAAGACAGGACACTTTAGCAAAAAAATCCACACACACAAACACACACACACAGTAAATTGAGTATATTGATGGCTATATACTTACATTTCAAAAGACTGTTCCAAAGATTTAATTTGTTTCCTTGCATCCTCTCTTTCCTCATTGGCCAACTTCAGTCTTGCCATGATGGCGTCATCACGTTCCTGTTGCGCAGAATAAACTTCCTGTACCAAAGCTGAAATATAGCAATCAGTTTTTTCTATGTGAGTGTCGTGAAGTCAGGGGTCTTGTGTCAGATTTGCTAGCCTTGCTTGAAAGGGGAAAAAAGTTCTGTATCTCAGAGAAAATCTCTATATCAACAGATTTCCTTTTCAAAAGGTTATCTTATCACAGTTCTGTAACTGTTGCAATAGTTTCCATATGGGTGCACAGGTCAGTTCTGATTAAATATAATTTTTCCAGATTAAGTATACTATTCCCTGGATTTAATCCTGGGAGGTTATTTAGGGATGCTTATGTATTTAGCCACATCATGAGAAGAAAGGAAAGCCTAGAGAAGACAATTATGCTGGGGAAAATGGAAGGAAAAAGGATGAGGGGCCAACCAAGGGCAAGATGGATGGATGGCATCCTTGAAGTGACCGGATTGACCTTAAAGGAGCTGGGGGTGGTGACGGATGACAGGGAGCTCTGGCATGGGCTGGTCCATGAGGTCATGAAGAGTCGTAAAGGACTGAACGAATGAACAAGTTATTTATAATTGTAATTCCACCTCAAGAAGCAACATATCTGGGGCTGACCCTAATAATAGGTATAATCTCAGTGCAGTTCGGTGGACACTCTCATTCTTAATTAATCCAAAGAATAGCTGTACACAAAACAGTTTCCGATTCACATGAATCCCAAGCTTCCTGGGTAATCTTTTTGCCATCAGTTGGTGTGTTGGCAAGGACTTCCAGGACTCTTGCTCCAAGGGCACCTTTGAGATTTCCTGGAACACCTGGGTTTATCTTGGCAACAGTCTTCAACCAAGTCTAACATGAGAAAGGTTTTTTAAAAAATGACATTTTAATTGAACCAGCAAGTTTGTTGAACTGAATGTACATATTCAATGTCAAGGTGCCATATGTGGGGAGGATCAGGCCCATTAGGCTTTCTCAAGCCCACTGACTTCAATGAGAATAACAACTTTGGCACATCAAGCAAATGAATCAATATGCAACCTATTTTTCTTCATGAACAAGGCAAACAACCTATAATTTTTGCTACTAAAATGTATTTCGGTGATTTGTTGAAAGATTGGCCTGTCAGATTTGCTTGAATTTCGTATCCGTTGGGACAGAATGAAAGCCAACACCTCATCTACAAAAATCTCCCCAGTTCCCCACTGCTGAAAGATAATTGTGCGAAACCCATCAGGTCTAACACACTTGTAGTTTTAAGACAGATAATAATGGTAAACAGACCGTTATTGTAAGGCACATAGCTATTTCAAAGTTCACTTAGAAAATCAACATAGCATTTTAGCTGGAATTTGCTCATTAAATACCCATAACTGTAATGTGAATTATGCTGGAATGAATAAAGCAAATACATATGCTTCTTTTCTTTTTATTAAATGTAAAATCTGCTGTTAATTACATTGGCGATGTCATATAAACTTTTCTCTTTAACTATTAAACGGAAGTCTTTACAAAAGTCATTAGAGATCCTCATTCTTTGACTTGTATAAATTTCAATATTTGTTCAGTAAAGGTTCACAGCAGTTAAATTACATTAACAAATATTATTAGCTACTATGTAAGCCAACTAAGTAAAATACTTATATTGCAGGTAAAACAAATCATTTGGTGTTTACGATAATATTTGGATATGTCCATTTTTAAACAAGCTTATCAAATATATCCTGTAATTCTTAGTCAAATGAGAGAGACTCAAAGTGGATATTTCCCCCCCAAATACTCAAATTTGTTTAGTAAGCTAATTGTTTTCTAATATGGGATAAAGCAAATATGAAGAAGCTGAACCATTCGGAGTGTGAGTTTACTGAGTCAAAGTAGTGTACATATTTTCTTAGTTAAACCCGATTCTGTTGGCAAACCTTTCGGACACACTTTTAAACTATCTTTAAAATACAGTAGTAGGAAGGGAGAGTGTTAGAAATTATTCTAGTATAAACATTGGTTCACGATTCTCCAAACAACAGAACATTGGGTGAGAGGTAGAGAAGGGGCATTTATGTCTGTTTGCTGATTTCTTAGGGGTCATCTGTGTAAATACAGAAACTGAATAGCAAACCCACAAAAGGATGAATAGTTGGGATGCTTTCTTTAAATCTGCCGCAGAACTCGCATGATACATATTAAAGGCAAAATAACCTTAAAACCTTAGACAACATACCTGCTGTATAAATAAAACACCTCCATGCGTAAAACTATATGGTTCTGTAGCAATGCTGCATTCTGACACTCCGCTCTGAGCAATATTTTGTGGCAAATATTTTGCTACTGAAAGAGTACATTCTCCCTAAAATGCAAAAATTCAAAAGTGTTCTAGCTCTGCCCAACAGGAAAATTAAAACCTCTTATAAAATGTCAAAATTATCTTTAGCAACCAGTCCTCCATTTCCACATCTCATATGTATGATTTCTGAATTTTCTTACTGGCTTTAGCTGCAGATCATTTCTTCGGTATCCTCATTAATTGAAGAAAGGAAAAAGAAAGAAAGAGAAAAAGGAGGTGGGAAAAAAGAAATTTGCTGCAATAATGAGAAGACTGTTGTGAGGGGTTTTGTGATTTTGGATTTAGTATTCAGGATTAGGGGTTGTTGAACTCTCTGTGACCTAGGATTTTCCATAGAGCTCGTGAAGGAATGATCACAGGATTTCTAATGGCATTGCACAGTCGTCTTTTTCTTAGCAGAGCCAATCTGAGGGACTTTTTAAAAACCTTGGTTTAAGATATTTCTAGCAATGCTAAAGTGTTTTGATTTTTTTTAAACTCAAGGCAGACACACACAGAGCTAATATGCGTAAGAGAGGAAAATGGAGAATAAACATTTTCTGTTTTTTAGTTCTTTGCTTGAACTAAAAGGGAAGACGACTAATTCTCTGTAATGCCATTCTTTGAATTGGAGCTATCCGCAATGGTCTACATCACTTACTTATTTTCCTAGTTCATTTTATGGGAAACCTACCTATAATTAGTTTGTGGTTATATCTCTCTTGTGGAAATTATTTTTTAGTTGTTAAATAGATGTAAGGAAAAATAGGTTCTTGTGACCCCAATATTTGTCCCACCCCACATTTGCCCCAACCTACAAAGCCTCAACTCCTGTCTGTGCCTGCTCGCTATGTGTGCATACTGTATCTACACCAGTTACAGCAATATGCTACTTATCTGCTTATACACACAATGTATTGCAGAATGCTGATAATCCTGGAATTATTCTAAGGGCTAGATTGCACTCCTGTTAAAATGAATGTCAGCAGTCCCCTGGTACTGTACATTTCTTTTTTAAAGTGACGTTTTTCTGATGTCATTAAGGTAGCCGAGAAGTAGAAGCATGATAGGGATACATGAATAAAAGTCAAGCTGTTTTAACAGGTCAGTACTAGGCATTACAGACTAAAAGCCATTTACATATAAATGTGACGCTGCAGATAAAGCGGTGTGTTCAAACACAGATAGAATATGCCGACATGTTTGTTACCTCATGTTTGTTGTATATATTTGGCTTGAGGTACTCAAAGACTCCTACATTTCTGGGGCCGTAAACACATTGATTCTACCCAAAGAGCCCAAAGTGTTTAGAAATAAAAACAAGCAAAAAGACTCCGCAGTGTGGTGTGCTCCTGTTTACTTTGAGTCACACACAGAAAATGAAAGAAAAGGCATGCAAATGAGAATAGGTACATTTCCTTCTCTAGCACTTAAATCGCTGCATTTCTTTGCAGTGCACTAAACCTGTCCCTCCTTCCTTCAAAATAACAATTTTGCTAAGATAACTACAGTTACTGATCACCTGGAAGTAAATTTTGACAAAAATAATGAACTTGCATTTAAAATCACACACACACCTCTAATTTAATACAAATAGTGAATTTCAGGAATTTTGAATTATGTGCAGATGGGATACTCTCAACAGAGATCTAAATTTCTCAAAATGATGCTGGTATTTGTTTTTTTACTGATAGGAAAGTTAATCACAAGCAAAAAAAAGTATCCAATTAATATATGCTAGATACATACAATTACTTTAATGACTGAAACTGTAATCCTACACAAGTCTACTCAGAAGCAAGCCCCTTTGAGTTCAATGAGGCTTGTTCTCATGAAAATGGGAGCTGGATTGCCTCTCCAATGAAACTATTCCATAAAATCAAAATGTGTTATAAAGCATTTGTGAATGTGTTTATTTCAGTAAACCCACTATGCCAGAACAAGCCTTTCCAATGAAAGCCAAAAGAACATCTTTCCATTGCCTTAAGTTCCCTACGTTGGGAAACAGGCGGGATAAAAATGAAATAAATAAGTAAATCTTGTCTTGCATATACTCATGAAGCATGTCTCAATTTCAGATATAACAGCTACAAGTTCAGTAACTCGACAGCACAATTCAGCTCTCTCTGAAGTCCATGAGAAAACTCAGATCGATTGAGTGGAACTAAACAGCACCTCTGGTGTCTTAAAGGTCTTTGCATTTATCAAGACACCTTCTGATGAAAGGTTTAGAAAAATGTATTTGCATAACTATAATGTAACAGTCTTACAACAAAACTAAGGCTAAGTACATATTGTATATAGAAAGAATAATTTTAGGAGAGAATTATTAGTAAAACTATGTCCGTTACATTCTTAAAAAAAATAAGAATGTCACACATATTTAGATTTATAAACACAAGGGTTGGGAACTGTTGAGATCTTTTGGCTAAAGCCCAATATTGGCCTTATTTCAGTTTAATTGGAAGAGGATCTCAAATTCATCTTCTCCATGAGATATCAGGAACCTGGATTTCTCTTTGTATCAAAGGTTAATAAGAAATGTGTCTGCAAAAGTCAAACAGCATTAAATATCAAAAACTGATTATTATTCCGCGGGAGTTGTTCTGGCATTCATAATCTCTCCATGCTCCAACCTTCCGCAGCTAATCTTTAATGGATGACATGCAAGAAAGAAAAATAAATGGCATCTAAAAAGAAGTCACCAAAGTGAGCTTAAAAGAAATGGTAGGC